GGGGGGCCGTGGGATGTGGGTGTGTGGCCGGTGATCGGGCACGCCCTGCGTGCTGATCGTCTCTTTGCCCGCCCCCTTCCACTTCCCTTTCACAGGTACCTCCCCCCGTCGGTGCCTCCCTCCCCTACATGTTGGTGTCTTGGCCGATGCGGGGGGACACCTACTTGGTCTTCTCCCCGGCAGGCTGGGCGCTGTTGGCGGCGTTCATCTGTTCCATGATGGCCTCGCGCTGCTCCTTCAGCTTCATCTGCATGCGGACCTGTTCCTGGCCGAGTTCACGGTTTCCGGAGGCCTCCTCGACATACGAGTCGATGGCCAGGCCGAGAGAGGCGATCATGCCGACCCCTGTGTGCGGTTGTGCGGTTCGAGCGAGCGCGTTAGTGTGGGAGATGGGCCACGCGAGAGCGGGCGTGCCGAGCCGAGCCGCGACGCACCGATGCCGATGTTGCGCCGGGTCCGGGGGGGCAGGTTGAAGAAGTTGCGGATGACACCCATGTCAACGAGAGAGAGGGAGATCAGCCAAGTCGAGAGGAGAGTCAACGGAGAGGGGGGAAAGGGTAGGGGCGAAGAAAGGCACGCTGGGAGATGGCTGGAAGCCCAGACCGACCGCGGCCGAGCGCCGCGCTGCCAGAAGAGAGGCGTGTACCTGCACGCGCGCGCACATACACCCACACACATCTATGCCCGCCTCCCACCGCCCACACACAAACGCCACCCAGGAGGGGGGGGGGGACGGGGACAAGCGGGCGGGAACACTTTACCAGGGTGCTGGGAGCCGATCGGGACTCCGTTGTCAGTTGTCTCAGATCACGCACCAAAAGCATGACCCCCAGCATGATAGTTAATTTACCGAGGCGTTCTCCGATATCGGGACGTTCTGGTGGCCCCGTGGGGAAGGGGGCCGCAGGACACAGGGGCACACTGGGAGACGGCGGCGGGGGCGGCGGGGACGGTGCGGCTGCGGCGCGGCGGCTGCGGCCGCTGCCGGGTGCCCTGCGCGGGCGCTTTCTCATTTATCGGCCCCGGGGTGTGCCTGGAAGAAGAGACCGGGCGACCAGCTTCCACCGGTGGCGCCTGAGTGGTGCCGGCCTCACCGGGCCTGGCATGGTCGGCTGCTGTGACTGCAGTTGAATGGGCCTCCGGGCCGGCCTGACCGGCCTACTCGCGGGCGGTGGCTACGACGGACCTGGCTAGGGGGGGGGGGGGGG